CTTCGTCCGCTTCGGTGTAAGTAATCCATTGTCTCATCACTTGATCCTAATGTTTGTCCTTTCGGTTGACCACTAGTGGCACCAATACTGCCGAGTCTTTCCCGCCGGATGTGTTGATAACATACATACAAGAGTTGTCTGTCTATGAAATGGACACTTCTTCTGCTTCTTCTACTTCTTCGTCGACTACTTTGGTCTCAACGCCGAAGTCAGTGAAGAGACGCTCAAAGAGACGGGTTTTCGGCTCAAAGGGTCGCAAGACTTACAGATGTAATGAAGACAATTGCGACCGAAGTTATTACACGCGAAACAACCTCTTGAGACACTTCCGACTCAATCATATCACCCAATCATAGCCCGACTCTTGTGTCTCACCACAGGTTTAATGATAATTAATATTTAATTAAAAGTTTGTGAACTAATAAGTGATGTCTTTCACCGAGACTTAAATCCATTGTTTTGTGGAACTATTACTAAATCAATTGATTTCATTGACGGCACCGAAGAGTTTCAAATGCAAATAAAGTAAATTTTGTTTTTATTAACATAAGTGAAAAGTAATATAAATGTTATACAATATAATAAAGCAATTTACGGTACAATTGAATAAAATTATAAACAAAACATGACATCAAAATGTTTGCAAATCTATGACAAATCATCTCTAATGGCATACAATATATTGATGTCGTTTTGATAGCGCTGTTGAATATATTTGCGTCTAATCTTGAGAGAAGTGGTCACTAAACCTGATTCCGGACTGGTTAGCAGACTTGTGTTGAATTAAAACCAGCCTTAAAGAGCAAACAAATCAAAGCGCACAAAACGGAGGGCAAACTACCGTAGCTTTTGGTTAAATATTTAAAATATCAGCAATGTGTTGAGGACAAAACTCATTTCACTTTTGCCCAAATTCTTTGCCAATTCATACAATGCTTTAGGATTTGGCGAAATAAAAGCAACCAAATAATCGTGTAGTGAATGGCCGTAAACGCAAACATTGTCCACAAACGGGCACTTCTTGATGGCGTCCTCCACCTAATTGTACATCATTTTCACATATTTATTAATTTATATAAAGTTTATATAAAATTTATATAAATAAAGTTTTTTATCAATACTTTCGCTAACGCTATATATTCTCCTTTTGGCAGTTTAATGATGTCTTTCTTTCTGTCAATAATTTTGATGTTTCCGTTTGGATATATTTCCCCAATATCTCCGGTGGAGAACCATTTGACGCCATTTTCCTCTTTGAAATACTCTTCAGTCAATTTGTCGTTTTTGAAGTAACCCTTCGCCAGCAATAGCGGCGGCTATTGGTTGAGAGGGGAGCCCAAGCCGCTTAGTCAGTGAGATATCAACGGAAGTCTGGTTAGTTGATTAAATTAAACTTACGGTAGCTCTCCCCGCGGTTGACACGGTTGTGATGTGTCATCCAAATCGGTAGCCGTGGCCGACGCACACGTCTCTGTCAGACCATAACCTTATTTAATAACAAACGTATTTTAGTTGTAACTAATTTTCAGTCAATACCAAACATACCCTGAATTGTCTTCACGTCTAAACAGTTGCGAATAAAGTGCTCAGTTTGTGGCGAGAGAGGGGCCCCACCGATGGCTATCACTTTCACTCTTCCGCCCAAAAGTGGCTTAAATTGTGTGCAAAACAGATAACTAGTGATCGGAGCGCTATAACCGTGTTTTGTGAAGAACTCTTTCATATAATAAAACAAATTGAATAACACTTTTGTGAAGACATTTTGGTCAACATTTTTCTCTATAGCGTAACGAATGTTGTTTAATAAGACGGGAACTGATGTGATAACTGTTGGCTTAAGTAATGTGAGATCTCCTTTCGTGGTCTTCATGAGTCCTTTTGAGCGGTCAGTGAGTGTGTGAACAGATCCGAAGCCGACGGCCACACCATTGGAGATGAAGTAGAGATGAGCCGCCAATTCAAAGATATGAGACAACGGAAGGTAAGAACAGTAGACGTCGTCTTCGTCTAAAATCTCCGACAAAAAGCTAAACGACTTAATGGCTGTCAACAGGTTTTTGTGCGATATATTCACGCCTTTGGGAATACCAGTGGATCCCGAGGTATACACAATGAAAGCCGTGTCCTCGAAGTTCGGGTCCACACATTTCAGATCTTTATGTGATTTTCCTGTTTTTTCAATTTCAGACAATGAATGAAAACTCACTCTTTGTCTTTGCTCTTCGGTGAACAACTTCTTGAGATTGGGTTCATTTGGTCCGTCCATATATACAATGCATTTAACACTCGGCATATCGTCCAGAATTGAATTCAGTTGACTCAACTGATTATAATTAGTGATCAAATGTGTGACTTGTGTCTCATTAATGGCGTGAACGATGGCGTCCGAAGATGATGTGGTGTCGAGTGTGGCAACAGTTGATCCCAATCTCATCAACGCCTGACACGAGAGCAACCATTCGAGTCGTGTTTCGGCCAAAATCATGACAATGTCTTTGGGTTTGATTCCTATAAATAGGAAACCTTTGGAAATGTGGTCCACTTTGTCATCAATTTCTCGCCAATTAAACCATT